CGCTCCTCCCGCCGCCGCTGCTGCTGCTGCTGCTGCTGCCGCCGCCGGGCTCGGGCTCCGGGGCCGACCGGCCTCCCCACTTGGTCTTCGTGCTGGCGGACGACCTGGGCTGGAACGACGTGGGCTTCCACGGCTCCTACATCCGCACGCCGCACCTGGACGCGCTGGCGGCCGGCGGGGTGCTCCTGGACAACTACTACACGCAGCCGCTGTGCACGCCATCGCGGAGCCAGCTGCTCACCGGGCGCTACCAGGTACGCCCGTCCCCGGCCTCCTGCTCCCGGCCCGGCCGGCGAGGCCTCGGGCGCCGGCAAACTCGGCTCAGTCCACCGATCTGGGTCCAAGCTCGGCCGCGACTCGCCCCGGCAGTGGAGTCCTCGCTCCTCCCGGGCCCGAGCCCGTCGCGGCCTCTGCGCATGCGCGGCTCCGGGCGCCCCGCATCCCCGGCGCCCCCTTCTCCGGGGTTGAGAGTGGCTGGTCTTTCGTTTTCTAAAGGTCAGGGCGCAGGGGCTTCTGGGAATACTAGGTGCACGGCGAGCCGGCCTGCAGGAGGGTCAGAGCGGACTTTGCGGGGTGGAAGGTGAGGATGGAGAGGGAGCAGAGCCAAAGCCAAGCGGAGAATTCAAATGGAAGGTGCCTGCAGTGGGTGCCACTCTGGTCCCCTTTGAACCCAGCGGTTGTAGAAGCGTCTGACTGGAGACTAATGTTTCCAGCTTCTCAAACCCCCTGGAACGAAACCTATCCAGGTTGATTTTTCTTGGGCTGCTGACATTACTTTCAGATTTAAGCTTGTATTGAACTCCTCTGAGCGTCTTCGTTCTCTTTAAAAGCCTCTCTTTAGAAGCATCTCTGTAATTAAAAGAGAAAAGTACACATGTAGAGAGTGTGCATATATGTTAGATGAGTAAGAATAGCAAGAACATTTGCACAGTGCTTTATTGTTTTAAAGTTAATTCTCGAAACAGCCCATAAGGTGGTTTTCTTTAATCTCCTTTTACAGAGGAGGAAATAAGCCTACAGCGGTTCGATGACATGTTAGTCACACAGCTAGAAGTGGTAAAGTTCATGGTAAAGTTCACCTTTCCTGCATCCACTAGTCATCGCTGGTCTGTCAAATTGGACTCTTTTTCTCAGTCTAAGATTGACATTTTTATAAGAGCCTGATGTGATTATGACCATATTAAATACAATAAGTGGGTGTATTAGTCCGTTTGTGTTGCTATAACAGAAATACCTGAAACTGGGTAATTTATAAAGAAGAGAGGTTTATTTGGCTTATGATTCTGGGACAGCTGCATCTGGCACGGCCCTCAGGCTGCTTCTACTCATGGTGGAAAAGCGGCAGGCAGCTGGCGGGTACAAGCAGATCATATGGAGAGAGGAAGCAAGAGAGGGCAAGGAGGTGCCAGGGCCTTTTAAGCAACCAGCTCTCGCAGGAACTAATAGAGTGAGAACTCACTCACTACCCCTCCTCCCCCAGGGAGAGCATTAATCCGTTCATGAAGCATCTGCCCCATGACTCAATCAGTTTCCAACACTGCCACATTGGGCATCAGATTTCCGCATGAGTTTTGGGGGAACAACACATCCAAACTCCATCAGTGGGTAACACACGCATACCTCCATATATATGTTCTGTTTATTCAACAAACATATTTTGAGCTTACTGTGGTAGTTGCAGGGGATATACGTGAACCTTGCCCTCCCAAGTATGTGTTCCCATAACCTTTCAGATTGACCCCAGCCTCATATCCTGAGATCAAGAGAACAGAGGGTTCACAGATCTGTGCAGTGGTCTGAAGACTAAGAGGAAAGATAGCATTTTGCTAAGGGACTGAGAAGTAGCTGTAACCACGGTTAGCAATGGAGATAAAGGATGGTTCCCTTCCCCATCAGTGGTCAGTACTTTCCGCAGTTCTATGTGTAACCAGGAATTCCTACTCTAATGCAAATCTCACCCTGGACACTTTGTAGGACTAAAAGGATGTGCGAGTAAAGAAGGAGAAGGAGGGAAGGCAAGGTCTGCCCCAAAGGATTCTGCATTGGTTCTGGAGTGAGAGAAATGAACTCAAATTGCAAAAGAATGGAAGCGCCAGTCATTACTCCAACTTCCTTTCAACTGACTTGAGCAGGAAAGCAAATACCACACTTCAAAAGCCTGTTCATATACTTGGCTGCTTTTGTCCCCAGACATCCTCCTCTACTAGTCACCAACATTATCTTGGAGGGAAAACCTGAGTATTTAGAGTTAGGAAGTGAAGGAAGGGTAGAACCTGGGTACTCCAAAAATGGTTTAGAGACCTCTCAATGTAGCTGACTCTAAAGCAGGCTAGCCTCCCCAAACATTTTTCTTGACTTTTTCCACCTACTTTATTCTGTTAGAGTTCATGAGACCCGATTAGAAATTATTTTGGGTTAGCAAGCATCCTCTTTTAAAGGAGTAAATATTTCTGGTTGGGCTATGGAGGCTCAGTGCCCTCAGATACTATATGCTGGTCCTGTTCTGAGCACTTTGCAAGTATTAGCTCGTTTAATTCTTATAACAACCCAAGGGGTAGGTACTAGTAATATCATTCCCATTTTATAACAAGGAAACTGAGGCTGGATGAGGTTGAAAAACTTGCCCAAGGTCATGGCTAGTAAATGGTGAACGTGGATTTGAACTGGGCACTGTTGCTTAAGTGTTGGTGCTTATAATCACTACACCAAACTGCCTACTCAGAATTATTAAAAATATCACAAGCTGCTTCATATATAAATAATTCCCCTATTGTTTTTGGACATTTAGGTCTTTCCTAAACATCTCAATTTAAAAAATTAACCTATCATATTTCCAAGTTAGGAATTTCCTGTATTAAGTGTAAAATGATCATAGATTTATTTCTGAAAGAGTCATTTGTTGTGCATAATTTTAAGCAATAAAATGATAAAATTTGTTGACTATTTCAAAATTAGGTGCTTGAAAGAACTTCTTAAGAGTCATGTCTGTGAACTTGGCAACCATGCTTTAAGTATTTGGAGATCCCCTTCCCTTAATTATCTAACTTTAGATTAGAAAAGAAAAGCACTGAGTGATAAACAAGCCTAGACTGACTGACTGGACTTGGTACTCCCAGGAAATTCTGAGTTTTAGTTTTTTGGCTTACAAAAGTATTGAATAGAGAGGACTAGTTAGGAATTATGAGATATAGGTTTCAGTCTTGGACGTGTCAGTCTTTGAGCTCGCTGGACATCATTTCTACATCTATAAAATATAGGAGTTGGGCTGAACTCTAAGGCCCCTTCTAGGTCTAAATTTCTTTGACTCTAAGGCTCTTGTGTCCATTGGGAAAATTTCTAACTTGGCCCATGCACATTATCATATCGACTAACCCCATCTATTGGTAGAAAGAGACAATCTTGCCCAACACTGTGCCTTAAAAGTTGCATGTGCTACTTGTTATGCTGCCAGGAACTTATTTAAACAGGAACGTGAATTCAACCTTATATATTGAGACGTTTAATTGTTCAGAATCCTCACAAATGAAGCTTCTAAAACCTGCATGCTTTGGTGAAAAATGCATAGAGCTTGGGTTGGGATGAGGAAGCTCTGTTTAACTTTGTGAGGAACTGCCAAACTGTTTTCCACAGCAGCTGCCCTATTTTACTTTTCCACTAGCAATGTATGTGGGTTTTAATTTCTCCACCTCCTGGCCAATACTTGTCATTATCTGTCTTTTTGATTATAGCCTCCTAGTCATCTAGTGATTTTGAAACAATATCTCATGGTTTTGATTTGTATTTTCCTAATGACTAATGATGTTGAGCATCTTTTCATGTCTTATTGTCTATCTTCTTTGGAGAAATGTCTACTCAGATCATTTGACTATTTTTTAATTGGGTTATTTATTTTTTTATTGTTGAGTTGTAAGTGTTCTTTATGTATTCTGGATGCTAAATCCTTATCAGATGTATGATTTGCAAATATTTCCTTCCCTTCTGTGAGTTTTACTTTCTTGATAGTGTGCTTTGATATACATCAAAAAATTTGAATTTTGATGTAGTACAATTTGTCCGTTTTTTGGTTGCTGTGCTTTTGGTGTCTTATCTAAGAAACCATTGTCTAACCCAAGATTATGAAGATTTACCTTTATGTTTTCTCAGAGTTTTATAGTTTCAGCTCTTATATTTAGGTCTGTGATCCATTTTGAGTTAATTTTTACATTTGATTTGAGGTATGTGGGTGCATATCGATGTTTAGTTGTTCCAGCACTGTTTATTGAAAAGAATATTCTTTCCTCATTGAATTTTCTTTGCACCCTTGTCACGAATCAATTGACCATAGATGTTTGGGTTTATTTCTGGAGTCACAATTCTATTCCATTCTTCTGTATGTTTATCCTTATGCCAAAACCACACTGTCTTGATTACTGTAGCTTCATACTAGGTTTCAGAATCTGAAAGTGTGAGTTCTCCAATTTTGTTCTTTTTCAGGATTGTTTTGGCTATTCTAGGCTCCTTGCATTTCCATATGAATCTTAGGATCAACTTAACCATTTCTATAAAAAAGGCAAGTGGAATTTTAATAGGGATTGCGTTGATCTGTAGATCAATTTGGGGAGTATTACTACCTTAACAATATGTCTTCCAATCCATGAACATGAGAGGTCTTTCTGTTCATTAGGTCTTCTTTAATTTCTTTCAACAATGTTTTGTAGTTATGCTAATAACCACAAGTCTTGCACTTTTTTGGTTACATTTATTTCTACTTATTGTATTAATTTTGATGCTGTTGTAAATGGAATTGCTTCCTTAATTCCATTTTCAGTTGTTCATTGCTGTTGTGTAGAAATGCATCTGATGTATGTGTATTGATCATCCTGCTGCCTTGCTGAACTTATTAGTTCTAATAGTTTGTGTGTGTGTGTGTGTGTGTGTGTGTGTGATCTTTAGGCTTTTCTGTATATGAGATTATATCATTTGAAAATAGAAATAGTTTTACTTTTCTTTTTCAATATGGATGCCTTTCATTTTCTTCTCTAATTTCCCTGGCAAGAACCTCCAGTGCAATATTGAATAGAAGTGGCAAGAGTAGACATCCTTGCCTTATTCCTGATCTTAGAAAGAGAGCTTTCAGTCTGTCCCCATTAAATATGATGTATATATTACTTCTTTCATTCAACACATATTTATTGAGCAACTAGTTGTGGCAGGCATTGTGCTATATTCTGGGGATCTCCTGGTTCTTACAGTCTGGTGGGGTTGAGGGAAGGGA